GGTTATCACTGTAAACATTACACTGTCGATCTGTATCAGACGTCATAGGAAACATCTGCGCAACTTGAGAGAGAAAAATACCAAACACAACAACAACAAACAAACGAATTGGAAATGATACAGTCTACAGACTTACAGTATAAATTCCGGGGTTCAATTCCTAGCTGTTGACACAACAAATAGCTCAATGTGGCTTTGCTCTAAAGCAAACAAACAAAACCCAAATTTGAGGTTTTAGCATATTGTCTACATGAAGAACCCTCATGTAGACGGGTATGAAGCATGACTGTCTCAATATTGTAACCATTTGGCTTAAGATGTTGCATTCATAATAAGGAGATAACTTTTTTTAGTGGTTTACTACGTGATTTCATCAGCTTGATGCTACAACTCAAGTCAAGCTTGCCAAAGTTCTGTTGGTGTAGTTCTGGGCAAATAAAAAATAGTACTTTCAAAGTGTCGCTAGCTTCGAAAAGTATAACTATAAAACTATAAAGCATGGTTTATTCTGCTTTAGTGCAACGCTCACATTATGCTCTGTCCAACATCGGGAATCAAATACCGAATTTTAGCGTTGCAAGTCCGTAAATTTACTGCTGACCCAATGGAGAACATAATTATAAAGAATCATGCATTTATAAATGCTAAACGTTTGTAGCAATTTTATCATTATAAATTACTTTTTTTTAGTCGTTGTGTTTTCAAAATTACGCAATGGCAATCTGTGCTGTGCTCACCGCGAGTACCGAAACCCAGTTTTTAGAGTTATAGTAATTTTTTTATTAATTGTCCTTTTTAATATAATTTGGCAGATATTTGTTCCAATTAATTCACTGCTTTTCTTTCCAACAGTAGTTTTGTTGGAAGTATGTACAAAACGATTTTTAGTACAATGTTTAATTAAATGATCAATGCAAACCATGACAAAAACTGAAAAATTCTGAAAATGTGGTTGTGCAATTATAAATATACACATAAACTTGAACGTTTTAAGCACGACTTCCCAATACTTAAATCTATACGTAATACTTTCTTAATTCAATTGTTTTTAGAAGTATATAGTGCTATCTGATATCAAGGGCTCATAGTATTAATTTTAGGAGGGAAAAACTAGCGTAGTTTTTCTCGGCCATTAATGTTTCCTGGAGCAGCAGACACACTGTCTGTGCATGTATGTAATTTTCATGTATGTAAAACAATAGACCTACCTGTATATCTTAATGTGCCATGCTTAACCTGAAGAAAGCTTGTGGCTGTACCGATGAGACGATTTTTTTCGGAGGTATAAAGTGAGTTATTATTATAATAACTTGCCATCCTAAAGTAATTATTGCAATGTTTGCTATTGTTGAGCAGGTTCTCATGGATTATTCGGTAAAAATAATAAAGAAAAGTACATTATGCTTAATGATAACAAAAACATTTTAGTTTCCAGCTTCAGAAGTTAACGTTGAGCGTAACAAACTTTCATTGACAATCCTAACTTCACAAATAAACTAGCTCTAACATAAATTCTACTTACTTATTAATTTCTTATCTTTCTTTCTTTGTTAAAACAAACACACTATTGACAACAACTGACTAAATCATGCATTAATCACTCAATAACTATAAATTAACCCAGTAAATCAACTAGCTTAGCCTAATTAAGTTTGTATACTTAGGCCAATTTTTTCCTAAACTGTGGAGAAAGTTCCAAATATTAAGGCCGCACCCATCAGGTTACTTCAAACTTCCATCTTGCCAAACAACAATAAAAATGTTTAGAAACTGCTAGACTGAAAATCCAAGCCATATCACTATTTTACTTTTGTGCTGATCACACACATTCAATTCCATTTTGACAATGGTTATAAAAGATATTTCATACTTAAAATAATGAATATTTAATTTCTAGATAGTTCTGAAAATGTAAGCGTAAAGAAGTATCAACATACGTTAATAAGTAACAAAATCTTTTATTATACCTCTTCTAAGTGAATTTTCTCCAAAGCTTGATTACATATAAAACAACAAGGTAATAGCAACATGAAATTCTATTATTTTTCTCCTATTCTTGCTAGACACGTAATACAGAGTTGAGTATGTTATATTAAAACTATTTTGAATATACAAATCAGCAACTCACAAGACAACCACAGCTGATTTAAAGTCACTGTAGAATGGCGTGTATTATAATTGCATTTGACATTGTTGGGCCTTTAAATATTATGATGCCACCAAAAATTGAGTGCTTTTGGAAAGACGTATAAAAACTTTTTCTTATGAAAAATATCCATACACTTAAGTCATAATGATGTGTTCAAATTGGGGATTTATAATTTTCAAGACGGGTATATCTTTTATAACTTAAAATGTTGGAAAACAAAGGGACATGGATCAACTTCGAGTCTGGGTCTGATTAAGTCGATGGTTAATGTATCCTCCTAGGGTAAAAGACAATAAATTATCCTTTAATGTATTTAATTCGCTTTGAAATTTACTAATGTTTTCCATTTGTACTTTTTGCCACTGCTGTTGATTTTCCTGTAGTTGCTGCTGACTTTGCTGCAACTATTGGAGACTTTCTTCCTGTTTCCTTTCTTGTTCTAGTTGCCACTGCTGTAATCTCTCTTCTTGTTCATTTTCTTTTTCCTCCAACCAGTGCTGTAGTCTCTCTTCTTGTTTATTTTCTCGTTCTTCTTGTTTCCTTTCTTTTCCTCCAACAACTGCTGTAATCTCTCTTCTTGTTTATTTTGCTGTTCGAGCTGCCACTATTGCAGGTTTTCTTGCCATTGCTGTAATCTCTCTTCTTGTATCTTTTCTCGTTCGAGCTGCCACTATTGCAGGTTTTCTTGCCATTGCTGTAATCTCTCTTCTTGTATCTTTTCTCGT